CTGTCATGCCAAAGGAACATGAAAGACTCACTGTTGGTGCAAAAGGGTTGAGTGTGAGCCCAGGAGTGGCATTCAGGAGTGTGAGAAGGTAGCTATTACAGGATCAGATTTGCTCTGAGATCTTCCAACACGAGCATGACGGTGTAATGTGAAATCAGTGATGTGGAGCTGGGTTGCTTTTAGCTTTTCCTGCCTGTGGGCTTGGCAGGCACTGATGGCTAGGGCATCAGAGTACATGCTCACTCATGGCTTCTATTCTACCCTAGAAGCATATCAGGCTAGGAGGCCCAGCACTGACGCAGATTCAAAAGTGTTCTATACTTCTGGACTCTGAAACCCGCATGGGGGGCGAAGGGCAGAGGCAGACATAGGAAAGCCTGTGTGTTGTTGGATGGGGAGGGCTTGAGTGAGTACAGTCTGGCAGGTAAGGGTCCAGCAGATGCTGCTTTCTGGCCAGGGCCTGGGAGGGTGTCCGTCCTGGATCCTGATATGCCCTCTGTTCTCTTGGATGAGAAGGAGGCATTTGTTTCTGGGGAAATTTGTTTCTCAGTGAGGGTGGCAGGAGCAAAGGTTCTGAGTGTCCAGACTGGCTCCCATGATCCTCCAAGGGAGGACACAGCATCAGAATGGGAGACAGATGAGCTGGGAGTTGGGAGAGAGATGAAGGTGCTTCTGGACCTGCTGGTTTCCAGGTCAGAGGGTGGGAGGCTCAGCGACAGGGGTGTGTTTGGGTCTGCAGTGTCCTGGGACAACTGGGATGGGATAGTGTGAACTCAGAAAATCCCTCCTCTTTGCCGGCTGGACCCAGTGTCCCATTGTGGCTGGATGGACTTTACTGGATGAATGGTGAAGAGCATGAGTGAGGCTGGGGCTTGGATCTTAGTCTTCTCCAGATGTTCTGATGTGGCCCTGAAAAGATGCCTTGATTGTCCTAGCCTCATGGGAACAGTGACGGCATGCTCTTTTAGGCTATTTCAGTGGAGCATGAACTAGTGATGACATGAAGGTTACACCAGATGTGCTCAGTAAATGGCAGCTGTTGGTTTATGTGAGACTGCTGGAGTTCATTAAGGTGAACTTAATGAACTCATTTTCTTCATGCTCTCCCTGGCTTTCACCTCCTCTGGTCTAATTATCCCAAAGTCTCTTTGTTTTTAAGCTGAGAAAGGACAGGGAGGGTTTTCAAGGTGGACCCGTTCCTCATCTTTGCTTATGCAGCCATGTCTGCCTCACTGCAGCTGAGGGCAGGGAGCTTTTCTTCCTGATGGACAGACAGGAAGACAGAAAGGAAGATGATAGGACATGACAGGAATCAAAAGGGGAATTGGAGTAGAGAGAAGAAGACTAGCAGGTGTGGGAACCCGGAGGAGAGAGACACAGAAGGCTGAGGGGATAAATATGGTAAAATGCATGATACACGTAAAAGGAATGGTTTTCATGAAACCAGAAGCTATGTGCAGCTCATTACACCAACTCACAGAACTTGAAGCTGAGGAGTCTGGGCAGCTGGTAGCTGCTGGGAAAGGGAGAGCTGTTTTCTTTCAGGGCTGGCTCTCGTGGGTAGACCACGCTCCAGAGAATAGACATCCAGGCAAGAGTATGTGGGCAACACCCAGTGGATGCAGGTGACTTAGGAGTTAGGAACACTTGTTGCCCTCAAGGAGGACCAGGGCTCCCCTGTCAGCATCCATGTGGCAGCTCACAACTGTCTGCAACTCCTCTCCCAGGAATCCAATCCCCTCTGCTGAGCTTGGTGGGCAACAGGAATAAACATGGAGCACACATATACTTGGAGGCAAAATCCTCATACCTATGTAATAATAGAATAAAAATGGTTAAAAGAGGACCCAAAGTTGACTGGGTAGGAGCGCTGGGGGAAGAGGGGTCTAGGAGAAATTTGGGAGAAAAGAGTAAATAAGATAAACACATAGTAAATTCTCAAAAAAAATTACAAATACATACAGCTCAAGGAATATGAAGGAAAAAAAAAGACAGACAATAAGCAGCAAATAATGATACCAGCAGTGCAGCCATGAGAGCTAAAGCAAGAGGCAGAGACATGGGCAGAGGCCGAAGCTGGTAGACACAGTAATTGACACACACAGGAAGGGATGGAAGGTCAGACACAACTGTGAGACGAGCTGACTGCAGACACCAGGAGACGCTGCAGGCACCTGAGACCTCTTCTCTCTCTCCTCATTCTTGTCTTTCCTCCTTTTCCTTCACCCAGTGCCTCCTTTCTGTCTCACACTCTCTGTGTTTATCTTCTGTGTTCCCAATTCTCTGCATTTCTGGTTCCACTTCCTCTCATGCTACTCATGCTTGGTTTGCCCATGGCTGTTCCTCTTCTGTGTCAAGCTGGGTGCCTGGAGCTGAGTGGAGCTGATGTTCAAGACCCAACAGGTGGACTCACCTTGCCTGAAGTTCAGCATCTGAAAGGCAGAGAGCTGTTCAGGGCCCCAGGGCTGAGCTCAGAGATGCAGTGTGTTGATAAGTGGGGGCAGCCCCAGGGATGCGTCCTGTCTAACCCCTCCATTTCTCCAGAAGGGCAGATGATGTCAGTGAGGGATGTGGAGATGTTATGAAGGCTATTTAGTATCATCATCATCACCATCATCATCATCACCATTATCATCATCATTTCATGGTCTTTACAATGATGACATCAACAACCCAATGGGACTTCAGCTTCTTTAAGACTGGAATTCAGCTCTGCATGTTCATATGCAACTGTGTGACATTTGTCCTGTTGGGTTTAGTAAACAATTCCAAGATGAATAAACAAAGATTGAAAGTTCCCTGTCCTGGTAAATTGCACCAGAGCTGTGAAACTTGGCAGACAGAGCCTAACGTGTCTGCCTTTTGGCACACTCATGGTCCCTTGCATAAAATGTCCTTGGCCAAAAGGACTGAGCAGCACTGGGATTTGGGCTGAGATGTCATTCCCAACCCTGACTTAGTTTGTCCTCTTCATTTCAGAGTCAGAGAAAAGAAGGGGCTTGGAAAGGGTCCTGTTACCCCGGAGTTCTGGTCTACCCACTGTGAGCTGTACTTTGTACTTTCTCTTCTTGGTGTCTTCATCTCTGGCTAGTGAGTCTGTCCTCTGACAGGCAACCTGAACTGTCACGCAACCAACATGCTGCCAGAAACAATGACTCAGCTGAGTTCCTCCCTGGAGCACTAAATAATAGTTTATATATTGATCCACGAGCCTGTCTTTAAAAACAAGGGGGAAAGCTATTGAAGAAGATGCCACTCCTCACCCTAGGTGGTCAAGTATTCCAAGCAATAAAAAGGAATACTAGAACCGTTGGAGACTCTTTTTTTCTGTGCTTGCTTTGCTTCTGGGTCTGAGGGATCTGAAGGGTCTGAGGGATCCCCAGTAGTGGCTTGACATGGTTTTCTTGGGCGGTCCAAAGCTAAGCCTATCACATTCTGCCTTGAATCTGTTCCTGATCTGGGCCTTCGAAGCAGGAAATGACATTCCCGTATATCACGCACATAGCTATCAGGAAACCAAGCAGCAATTAGTTGTTCCTTCTCTGTCCTTCAGCCAGCCTCTATCCCTACCCTCACAGACCTTTCCATTTTCATCCGGATGTCTGCAGCAGGCACTTCCGTGCTTCTCAGCCTCCACTATTTTTTTTTTTTTTTATAACTTATGTATTTTTACTTTCAGGTGCATTGGTGTCCTGACCGCATGTGTGCCTGTGAGGGTGTCGGTTCCCTTGGAACTAGAGTTACAGCTGTGAGCAGCTGTGTGGGTGCTGAGACTTGAACCTGTGTCTTCTGAAAGAGCAGCCAGTGCTCTTAACCTCTGAGCCATCTCTTCTGCCCCCTCAGCCTCCACTATTATCCCATCTAAAAAATTGAAGAATCTTTCTCAGACATAAATGTGACCAACTTGTTACACTGTTTAGGCCTCTTCTGTGGCTCCCTGTTGCTTCAAGATGAATTCCAGGCTCCTCATGCTTAGCCTCTGCTTGGTGGCACTGTTTGAAGAGGTTTATGTGGTTCAGCCTTGCTAGAAGAAGTATGTGAGATTAAAAGACCTCACACCAGTTCCACTTTGCTCTCTCTGCTTTGTGCCTGTTCAAGAGCAAGAGCCCAGCTGCCTGCTTACCATGTCCTCCACCACAACAGACTATTATTCCTGGAACGGTAAACCAGATAAATTCTTCTCTATGCCCTCTTGGCCTTGGTGCTTTATCACAGTAAAAGAAAAGTAAATAACAGACATGTTGCAACATGCATTTCCAGAAACCCCAAACGTTTACCCAGAATGATACATGCAGAAAGATGTCCAAACGAAGCTAAGATAGAGAGAGGTACCTGTCATAATTGGCTAACCAAAATGAAGCAACATGAAGACACCCATAAATACAAAGGACTCTTGGGGACAACAGTGACACTCTGGGAAGGAAAAAGAAAACTATGAGTAGGTACTCTAAGACTATAGACACTAAGGCAAAATTCTGTGCAGACTTCAGCACCATCCAGAGCAATCTGAACATCTAATGTAAATTCATCCTCAGGGATTGCCCAAGAGAGCACCAGGCCCCTAGGCTAAACTCCCTATTCGCAGCTATGAGGGTGGAAGAGCACTAATGCTTAGCTCTGCTAAAGAAGCATGGGGGAGAGAAGTTTCTCAGGTACCTTCTTCTTTGGTGCAGTCCTGGAGGCGCTCCCAACGAGACAGGCCATTGCAATTGCCATTGCTCTTCACCATAACTAGATGGTTAGGAACCTACTGCTGAAGACATTACCAGCTTCGGCTGCAGGACATAGACCAATCTTGAACTGACCAGGAAGTTGTCTCCTTAACGAATAGCTTTCATAGTGCTGGAAGGTGCTGGGAGAACACACATCTTTGGTCTTACCCCGTGCTGGACCCTCTTTGCTACAGTGAAAACCAGAGGATGCAAAAGGCAGATTGAAGTTTAGGTACCATCAACACATCTTGTTTTTTCACTAGAATAATAAGATGTGATAACAACAAATGAATAAAATAGTTGATATTTATTGGCTTTATGTATTAACTCATACATCACGACCAAGAGGTAGATGCAGTCAATCCTTGGGTCCTTGACATTCACTTTGTTGAGGAGGTCAGCTCCTTGACGGCACCAGCAGAGAGGCTCTCAGGGAGACTGATAGAATTGTCCCCGGATTGGAGTCTGCCCAAGTTAGGGTTACATTCTATGTCTTGCCCTTGCTCTTAGTCACTCAGCCAAGAGGGGAAACAGAAGCTATCAAACAGAGTTTCTGAGTCCCCCACTAACTCACTCTGGAAGCCTGTCCTGAGACACTGCCCTTGCACATGTCTCTTCCAGGTGCCTGTGAGCTCTGGTCCCAGTGTCTCTCCCACGTGACTTCAGTTTCTGCCCTGTCATTCATTCATGTACCTGCAGAAATCAATAAGGACAAGCACATTTGATCTCTGTTGAGCTCTCTAAGCTCTGTTCTCCTTCTGACACTCCCACTTTCACTCCCTGTACAGATCATGAGAGCCTGCCTGAGTACTCAGTGTCCTTCTTAGTGCCAACTTCACTGAGAAACAGCATCTCCAAATTACTCTTGTTCCTGTGGAAACAAGGAGAGAGGAGAAGTAGGGGCCCAGGGTTAGCACAGGTGCAGGTTGGTAACAAAAAGTTGCTTCCTGCCAAGCCCAGGCTAATCCTATTCCCTGCCTCTTCCTCCTCCAAAATCAACAAACAACGTGTCTTTCTGCTTCTTTCTCTGCCTGTTGTTTCCTCCCCACTAGGTCTCCAAATCCAGCACAGAAAGAGATGAGCAAAATGCCAGTCATAGCTGTTCCAAGCTTACCCATCGCCACCCGTCTAAAGCTAGGGCACCACCTTGAACGGTCCATCCATCAAAGCTTGCCAGTGTCCACCTACCGCCCCTCCGAGGGTCTAGCTGAGTCCAACCTCAGCGAGCACCTAGTGTTCATGTCAGAATCTGCTGGAACCAAGTCCACAGGCAAATCCAAGAACCATCTGTTTCCACTCTCAAGGTCTCTCTTATCTTATATTAATGAGTCTATTAATATCCTCCCGGTGTCAAGTTCCATGCTAACTTCTTCTCACCTTAGTGCTGGTCTAGGGGCAATCTCAGTGCTAACTTCTTCCCCCTCCCTCCTGAGTCTATTTGGCACTGATCCCAATCTCAACACCCAGCCACAATGAGCTGGGTCAGGCCATGAAGAGGAAAGTGAGTCAAATCCCGGCTCCTTAATAACTGTGGTAAGCTCAGTGAGGGCTCAATGATGCGCCTACTCCATAATTACTGAAATGACACAGATGATATAAAGGTAACCTTCCAGGGACACAGGTTCATAAAAAGGCACCTGTCTGGTTGTTAAGAATTCAGTGTGGGAGAACACTAGGCTCACTCTTCGATTCTTCGTGGCCACCCTTAGCATCCCAAGGTTACCTTTGCTGAATGTGTACCTAAATCTCTTCACCTAGATTTCCTAATCCTGCAATCCAGGCATCAGCTCACTTACCATGCCCACAAATATGACCTTTATTTTCCTCAGTGCTCTGTTTCCTCTGGTGGGGAAAGAAGTCTAGAGAGGGAAAGCTGAAAGGTAGAATGTGATAGCTTTCGGCTTGCAGGATTTTCACATATGTGGCCCCACGCCACTCTCTGTGTGCCATTCTCAGTGAGTTCATATGTAAATAGGAGACATTGTAAGCAACAGCAGCAATGAAGCCAGTGACCCTGTGGCCTTTCCACAGATCTGGAAAGGAATACAGTGGGACTAAGTAAATTAGAACTTTGCTACCTATTGGAGTTGTTATCATTTCTCAAGACCTAGACAGGCCCTCCATCCTAGACTTCTCCACGGGTTCTGAGCATCAGGAGATAGCACGGGCCAAACCCAAGGCATATCCACACCTGGGGACAGGGGCTGCCTCAAAGACCCTCCTGGGATTTCAGTGTTCTTCTCCATGGTACTCCCCAGTCATTCTTGCCCCAAGAGCCACCACCCACCTCCCCTGGGGTCTCTCCTTCCCAGTTCCTTAGGTTCAGGACCCTTTTCATTGGAAGACTCCTAGGGTCTGGGGTAGTGGTGCAGGCCTCAGGAGGCAGAGACAGGTGGATTTCCAAGGTCTACATCCTGAGCTTCAGGCCAGCCAGGACTACATAGTTAGAGCTTATCTCAAACAAAAAAGAAAACGGACCTTCAAATTCATAGCCGTTCATCCTGCTTCAAGCCAATGAATCACAGGATTCTTCTCTCAAAGGAACCCATACTCAAGGCTCAGATGGGTCTGCAATATAAATGTTATGGAGGTTCAGATCTGGCTTCTTTCTACTGTCCTCTGTAACAAATAGCCCTGGAGCACTTTCTCCTTAAAGGTTTCAAATTCAGTCTACTCCCTCTTAATCTCTCTCGGGCCCTCCTCCTCTTTTATTGTTGGCTACATCCCAACCTAGGTGCATGATAGGGGGTGAGGGGGCCAGTCTGGAGGTGAAATGAGCTAATTGCATAATCAGCACCAAAGGTCAGCCTTCTAACTCAGGATGAATAAAAGCAAGCTAGTTCAGCCATCACTGCCTGTCTGTCACTCTCATCACACCATGTTGGCCTCTGGACTGCTCCTGGTGACTGTGGTGGCCTTCCTCAGTGTCATGGTTTTAATGTATGTCTGGAAGCAGAGGAAGCTGGCAGGGAAGCTGCCTCCAAGACCTACGCCGTTACCCTTCATTTGAAACTACCTTCAGCTGAACACCCTCATGAAGGTGCTGTGCTGGGCATGCAGAGGGGTAGAACGCAGGCCGGCTGGGAGGGACGCCCTATTTTGATTGCAGCTTTGTGGTAGGGTATTGACCAGGAGGGAGTGTAATTTTAGGCCAGAGGAATTGTAAAGAATCAACCAGTTCCCAGACATGTGGCATCACATCTTGGGACACCGGGTCTGAGAGTTGTTTGAACTCTAGAGGAATGAATCCCAGGCAGCATCAAGGTTTGGCCACCCCCTCTAACCCTCTCACCTACCTCCATCAGATCAGCGAACGCTATGGTCCTGTGTTCACCATCCACCTGGGGCCTGGCAGAATCGTGGTGCTCTGTGGGCAGGAGGCAGTCAAGGAGGCTCTGGTGGACCAAGTTGAGGAATTCAGTGGGCGGGGCGAGCAGGCCACCTTCAATAGGCTCTTCAAAGGCTATGGTTAGGGGACCCAGATAGGAACTGCAGCAGGGGACATTTGAGGGCATCTATTTCCCAGCCTTCTCTCTTCCACCTCCTCCAGGCTGTCTTCTCCAGGGCATCACTGCCTCCTGCTGGGTCATGTCTGAGGCTTGACTCTCTGCCTGTTTCCCAATTCCCACAGTAACCCCTAAGCCTCCTCTTGCAGCTTGGGATTCCTCTGTCTGAATCCTGCTCCTGTAACCTGAGCCAAAGCTTCCCCCCATCCCAACCTGGTCATTCTCAGCTCCTGTGAACAGGCAGGATGCTTTCTGTCCTCTCCACTTCCTCTTCCACTGCCAGAAATCACAGAACATGTGTTCCCATGTCCTGTCTCCTGACAACATCTTCTCCTCCTCAGACTCTCCTTGGGTCTCTCTCCTTGTTTCCCTCTCTTTTCTAGCTCAGTCATGCATCTTTCACAACTGTATCCACCCCCAGGTCTCCACAGTCTCCCGCCTCTGCCCTGTTTCTCTGTCTCTGTCTCTTGCATCTGTCCTCCATTCTCTTACTGTCCCATAACTTGGTTTCCTGGTGCCTTCTTGTATTCTGCATGTGCATTTCCAGTGATCCCTGTGCATCTTGCTCCCTCTGGCTCTCCTCTTGGGAGCCAGTGCTGGGGTGGTCAGTGGACAGCCCCTCCTCTCTTCTTGAAGTCTCCCATCACCTTTCTCACCTGCCCAGGAGTAGCCTTTAGTAGTGGGGAGCGAGCCAAGCAGCTGAGGCACTTCTCCATCTCTACCCTGCGGGACTTCGTTGTGGGCAAGGGTGGCATTAAGGAGTGCATCCAAGAGGAGGCGGGCTTTCTCCTTGAGGCATTCCGGAAGACAAACGGTAAGCTGAGCACCACAATTTCTCACCAAGGGGAAGACACCCTTGGGAAAGCGGCATCATGTCCCAGGAAGGGAACAAGGCTGGGGAACAATTGTCCTGGACCCCCGCTGTGGCGTGGGGTCTGGGTTTTGGCTCAGCACTGCAGTCAGTGCCTTTTTGAATTCTGTGATTCAGAGCATCTGATGCTATCACACAGTGATGTTCCCCCCCTCCACCCCAATTTCCAATGTCTCCCTCTCCTTCTTCACCCTCACCTGTAGGGGCTACCATTGACCCCACCTTCTATCTGAGCCGAACAGTCTCCAATGTCTTTAGCTCCATTGTCTTTGGGGACTGATTCGACTATGAGGACAAAGAGTTCTTGTCACTGTTGCGGATGATGCTGGGGAGCTTCCAGTTCACGGCCACTTCCACGGGGCAGGTACCCTGCCTCAGCCTTGCCCTACCTCGCCCCTTAACACCGGTGCCAGCTCACTCCCAAACTCCCAGCCTGCTCAAGTGGTATCTTCAAGCTGGCCTGGCAGTTAGTGCCAGAACAGATGTCAATGCACAGTCAACAGCTGTGCCTGAAATCAGCTGGCGGCAGTCTGTCTACCTGCATGCCTGCCTGTCTGTTTCTGTCTGTGTCTCTCTCTATACATGTGAGTGTTTCTCTCTCTCTCTCCCTGTGTATTTTTGTCTTTCTTTCTGTGTGTCTGTCCATTTCTCTGTCTGTCTGTCTCTCTCTCTCTCACATACACACACACACACACCACTCAGCTCTCGACCCACTGGACTATGCAGATGAGTGACACTCAGACATGAAAATACCCAAACACCTGCACCTCTAACCAAAATGTTTACAAAGAATGCCCCCCACTAACAAGGCTCACTAACAAGTCACAATTCGGCATCCTGGGAACACATAGCTCCAGATGGTCACAGAGGACAGTTATGGGAGGGAAGAGTGGACACAAATCTGCTCAGTGTGACCATTGGCTGTGGGAGGCATTGTGTTCAGTGGCTTCCATTTCTGTGATAAGGAGCAATACTTTCTCCTAAGACCAAGCATGAGGCATGTCTGGACACGGCCAGGGATTGTTGAGTTCACATGACTCCCGCACAGCACCAAACTCAGCGGTCTGATCCTGCCCTCCACTCTGAGCTATGCTGGAATATGTCATAGTCTCATTAGTTTTGTTGTCAAGGCCTCTCCTTTGGGAAGTAGAGAAAGGAAAGATTTTTTCCCCCAGGGTTGGAGGGAGGTTTCCCCTCTTTATCTTCCTGACTCCCTGCAGCTGAGTGCAGACTGCTCTTCTTCCTGATGGATAGACAGCAAGTAAGAAAGGAAGCTTGTACATTATATACACAAAGAGGGAGACACAGAAGAGGAGAGGAGATTAGTAAGTATGAGAAGGGGAAAAAGAGAAACAAGATTAATGAAGGGTAAATATGGTCAAATGCATGATATACTTGAAACTATAAACTATAGACAATTAATATACCCCCATTAAAAATAATGCTAAGACTGAGGAGATATTGGCAGTTGATGGCTGCTGAGAATGAAAGAGGCGGTGCTCATTAAAAAGATGGCAGCAGATATCCCAAGTCTTTCCTGGGGCTTCCATCCAGCTGAATGATCAAATATTGTCCTCAAATATGAGGCACAAATCATTCCCTTTGGAGAAGGATGCCTTTTCCACGAGAGCCTTCTGGGCTCTGCAAAGCTGTGTGCCTGCTGTCTACTTCACTCTATAGAATTCTGTCAGAGGATGAAGGCATATTTGGCATGGGCTATGCTTGTTGAGCTATGAACAAGCTTAAACCAGTGTCAGAAGGAGAAAGCCCTCAATTGGGAAGGAACAGTTAGGACAAAGAAAAAGGAGAAATAATGGAGAGACTACAGCATGGAACAGAGGATGAGGAGGAAGAAACTCCCATGATGAAGGAGTTTTTCTAGGTGCCTCATCCTCTTGTGTAATGACCATTAGCTCTTCACATAGCTTATCTGGTCCGTGTCTTATCACATTGATGGCCACAGAGAAAATGCTGAAGGAGAGAGGTTCTGGGATCATCTTAACCTAGTGACTCTTCCTGGGATCTGGCTAGGTGTGTTGTCCTGTCCTCCCTGTCTTGAGGCAAATACTCCAACAGCAGTGAAGAAAGGGTAATGAATAAATAGCCCAGAAAGCTTGGATTTTTGCTACATGTCACAATGCTCTTCTGTCTCAAAATAGGTGCAAAATAAAGAGGTTTCAACTTTGGTACCAATGCCTGCCAATCAGTTGGGTCTGGCCAGAATATTCTCCAAAAGGGATTCCTAGACTATGAAATAGAGCCTCTATTAGTTATGCTTGACAAGGATGACATAAGTATAAATTTATCCTTCTTATGTTTTCTGAGCTGTGCTGTGTTCTCACTACACACACACACACACACACACACACACACGAAGCATCCATCAAGAATGAAAATGAGAGGTAGGATACAACCAACTTATCAACCTTGCAAGCTTCCCTAAGGGTCTGGGCAGTAGTCCATACATTATCTGCAAGTCAGAAATCTTGGCTAGCTGTGCTCTTTAAGCCATATTAGTGGCTGTTTACTATTTTTGAAGGTCCCTTCATTCTGACAGGTGTGTTCTTGAGTTACAATGTCCAATACATCAAAAGTCCTACTGAGGCACCACTATAGTCTTCCACCCTTCCCAGGACTCCACAAGAGTCGTGGGGGTTCTCTGTTCCATAGTGTCCATCCCGGACTCACTAAAATCCTAGCAGGTCACAAAAACTGAACCTTGCAGTTACTTCTGGGATCCATCCCAGAGTCTTGGAACTCTGAAGTTGAGGGCTTGTAATTTCTCTGGAGGAGCCATGCAGCCTTGCTTTTCCATAGTTCTTGTGTTTCTGCATTGAGATCTGCACATTTGGTGGTTAGCATCTATCTTCCAGTTCCAGGTGGGGATATTCTTTTTTTCCATCTGTATCTGGCATTATTAAAGATACTTTTCATAAAAATCATAGTATTTCAGGCAAGACATGGGCAGACAATCATTAACAGGATACAAGAGCTCCCATACTCCCTTCTTGCATAGACTACCAAAATCCAAAAGCCACTATAAAACCCAATGAAAACTTCAACCAATGCTTTGAAAATGAGGAAGGAGCTTAGAGTGAGGGTTGACATTTCACATTAACGATGTTGTTTAACAAGTTTTCACAAGCCGACACTGATCAGGAAATTGAATGAAAATGGTAGAATTATCAATCTAAAAGATCTTCAATGTTTTATCAAAGGAGACACCACTCTTCTGAGGACATTCAATGATGTAACTGCAAAGTCACGATCACCCAATAGACTGGAAAACCAATTCGGAAGATCAGGCTTCAATAGGTCTGTTGGTATAATGTTCTTATGGTATATATACAGTGTACTCTTGTTCATTCAAATTCTGATTTTTCTACCCCACTATCTGGTTTCAATCCAGACATTCCATTGTAATGCTTTTGTCTCAAGTTTGTGTAAACATGCCACCACTTGTTTTTTGTATTGTCAATAAAACAACTAGCCAATGCTGAGCAATGCAGAGAATAGGGTGGGACATCCTGGTCTGGAGGGGAGGAGAAGGAAGTGAATGGGAGGGGAATCAGAGGAGAGAGATCAGGGAGGAAAGGACTTGAAACTACCAGGAGATATGAACTGGACCTAAGATATGACTAAAAGCAGGTATAATGTGAAAAATCTGAATGGGAGGAAACCATGAGGGCTTGGAGGTTTAGGATGGAGTAACTATTGCCCATCATTGTGCTCTAGGTTAATTAAATAAATCCTAGTCTCTGTGTGTTGATTTGGGTATACACTGATTTAGGAATAACCACTGTTTAACTAAAAGATAAGTCAATATTAAATATTAATTACCAACAACACAGGTCTCTGTTTTTAAGGGAGTTAAGTCGATGATGGTACAGGGGGAGGGGGATATAAAAATAAATTTAGAGTTTTCCCACACCACAAGGCATTTTGTGCCATGGTAGCCACATATGTCAAGACCGTGGCATCTCTTCTGGGAGCCAAATGAAGTCTCTCAAAATTATCAAGGAAAAATGTTCTCCAAAATCAGTCCACCTTGGGAGACACTTTGTTAGCGACACACGTTCCTTTCAACCCAAAGCAATGAAGCATTCTGAATGCTAACATCATAGCTTAAAAAAAATTAAAATAAAATTCCGTATTTTTATAAAACTTTATAAAAATAGTATTTCAAACTGTACAGTCCCCAGAAGCACACAGTTATCAAAAATGCACACACGTCACTTGCCATCTCCACAACTTCAGCTTTCTGTGCCTGGTTTGGGCGGCTCCGATTTCCTCAGGATTTCAGCCGTCCTTTTCTTCCTGTTGGGTACCTTCTCTCCCTTCTTTGTTGGGGCTTTTTTAGGCTTGGGCTCTCGCTTTGGAGGAGCCAACAGACAACCTTGCGGATCTCTGTGGCTGGTCCTTCACATTGGCTTTATCTCCATCAGCAACCCCTTTTGCCTTTCTTTGGGGCATGGCAGCAGTGGGGAACATAGGCGGGAAATGCCAGGATACAGCAGTACGTGGGTTTGGTCGATGGGTGGCATCGCTCATTGCTGCTGCTTCACCCTGCTCCGCATTTGAAGATATTCTTGCGGAACAACCACTCTGAAGACTCAGTCCTCAGTACAGCAGCAACATCCAGAGCCATGCGAGGTTCATTGCAGTCACTAGCACACCACCAATGAGGACAAACCTGAGAACCGAAAAACCACCATAGAAGGTACTGGTGGAGCTACAAATTACTCAGGATAAGTGGGGCTGGGGAAATAGAGGCATAGAAAGCAACATTAAATAAATAAAGCAAAAATAGTGAAAAAGAATGCTTTAGAGAGGAAGACGATAAGTCAGAAAATTAGAAATCAGTAAAAAGGAAAAAAAACAGACTTCCATTAATAATAAAATTAAAATTAGATAAATTTTTGAAATTGAATTTTAAAATAACATACAAGTTGTTCTTTGGCCTGGAGAGACAGCTCAGTGGTTAAGAGCCTCCTTTCACCAGGGGCTATGCAGTTCAACTGAAGCTCTGTGACTTGTGGCTAGTCCTTTTCTTAAGTCCCTAGAGTAGCTCAATGGTGTGTGTGTGTGTGTGTGTGTGTGTGTGTGTGTGACTGACTGGCCTCTCTTGAACATTGCAAACACCTCCATGGAAAGGTGGAGGGAATAGGAAGGATGGCAGAAATGAAGGGACCCAAACATCAAATTAACTCCAAATGCTGAATCCCACTACAGAAACAAAAACAGCATGAAAACCCAAGACCTCAAAACAATGTTTTGTTTCTTCCAAAAGTTCAATCCCGTCATAATGATCTCCAATGAGAGTGACTAAGAAGAATTTCCTGAGAATGCAAAAGAACAATTACAAGTATGTTCAAGCAGCTCAGAGAAGAATTGAACGTACTCCAAAAAAAGAGTAAGACACCAAAGAAAGTAAAGAAGCCAGTGCAAGGTAGGAAAGGAGAATTCAGTCAGAGCTACTGGAGAAAAAGAAAAAAAACTGCGATGATGTGGGAGATGAAAACTCAGCGGAAAGCCTCACCAACGGAATGAATGTGTGTGTTATGTTATGCAGGCAATTCAACTGGCCTGCTGGCGGGGGCGGGGGGAGGCTTAGGGTCCTGACAACGTTCTTGTCACCACCTGCATTCTATGCCATCACCTGGGCCAGGTGCTCCAGATACAATCCATCTGCTCCTCCTACCCGCTCTCTCTCCCTCTCTCTGTGGTTCTTGCTCACTCTTGCTCTGTCTCTCTCTGTCTCTCTCTCTGCCTGTGTGTGCATGCACGCGCTTTGGTTTCTTTCCCCTTCCCTCCTCTCTGACTTTTCTCTCTCACTTCCCACAAACATGCATCTCTTTCTCTTCTCCTCTAACATGTCTCCTTTTTATTTCCCCGAATAAATCTCTTTCATATCAGATATCTGTGTGCCTGGCATTTTTAAATATATCCTAAGAGTGTGGAGGGCTGGATATGAAGGGTTAGAGAAGATGTGAAGGAATCGAATCATTCTGTCAAGGCCAGTGAATGGAACCTGGGAGAGCTTTGGAACCAAATGAAAAGAACAAATCTAGAACTTGTTGGCATGCAAGAAGAATTTCATGCCAAAGGCACAGAAGGTGTGTCTCATAAAATCATACAAGAAAAGTCTCCACATTTGGAGAAGGACATGTTCACCAAGCTATAAGAGGCAGCCAGAGCAGCAGATAGACAGGACCTTCCTTATTGTAGATCAGAACACAAAGTCCTAGGGTAGAGGGCACTGGCAACTGCAGGAGAGAAGGGCCGAGTCTGACATGGAAACAGGCTGATCAAGATAACAGATGATTATTCAATAGAAACTTCTAAGGCCAGAAGGGCTGGGAAAGATGCATTCCAAGTTCTCAAAGGTCACAGCTGCTACCCAGACTTTTACACTCAATAAACTATCTATCATAACTGAGGGACAAATAAAAATTATCTGAAATCCAAACAGACTAAAAGGATTTATGACCACTAAGCCAGCTCTACAGAAGATAATAGAGGGAATACTTTGCACTAAAGAGAAGATTAAACACACCCGAGACTCCACAGGGGGAAAGAAACAAAATCATGATGGTTAATAAAAAGGTTTTATGAAAATGATCTGGACTATAAGATCATTCATTCTTCAATGACAGGGACCTAAGAGGGAGGAGGCAGGAAATAAGGTAAAGATGATTAAAAATGTTTACACAGCTGGGGTTAGGAGATCTTGTACAAACTATGTCTTATGCCAAACTATGTCTTACGTGTTATTAAGAAGAAAAGCATTGGGGGCTGGAGAGATGGCTCAGAGGTTAAGAGCACTGGCTGATCTCCCACGGGTCCTGAGTTCAATTCCCAGCAACCCCATGGTGGCTTATGACTATCTATAATGGAATCTGATGCCCTCTTCTGGCATGCAGGCAGAACACTGTTATACGTAATAAATCAATCTTTTTAAAGAAGAAGAATGCAGTCTTAAATGCAGCCTTTCCTGATAAAATGGGGCAGAGTCAACAAAAAGCTGTCGTAAAATGAGACAGAGTCATTGGAAGCTAACCAGGCCCTGCTGAACAAGAGGAACACACATTATCTCAAGGCTTAATAGACTGAGCAGATGGTAGCCTTGAGACTGACAACCATCACTCCTTAGGGAAGAAGAACTGGGTTGCCAGGATGCAAAGCCACAGCTCCCCTCAAAGACCTGGCCCCCAGGCCATCACTGGCTCTGCCAAACAAGTTCTGGTTTTGAGAAGGAACTGTTTCTTCTCCATACCTCAATGCCTCATAAAAAGCCTCGGGTCATCCTAGCCCTCAACAGAAAGCAACACACAAAAGCAACAAAATGACAAGAATTGGTACACGTTTTTTAATAATAACTGTCCATATAATGATCTTGATACCCCAATCTAAAGTAATAGACAAGAAGCCTGCATAACGCAAAAGGACCTGTAATTTTGCTGTCTATAAGAAACAAAGCACTATCAAAAACAGGAGTATCTCAGAGTGAAAGCTGGGGAAAACGTAGTCCAAGCAAATGCAACTGGGAAATAATCAGTCATGGCTGATAGACTTCACAGACAAACTAGACCAAACCAAACTAATCAGAAGCACCTCGTGCTGACCAAGAAAACAAGAAGACACTGAAATTCTAAACATGTGTAAGTGAAAGTAGGGTACTTCAGATAGCCATATATAGGAACATAGTTACAGATATGAACCCCAACACAGTAATGGTAGGTGACTTCCATAGCCCATTGCCAGTAATGGACAAAACATCCAGAGAAAAATGAAATAGACATATCAGAGTTAAAGAGCCTCATAGACCACCACATCCCAGGATACTCTGTTCAAACACTGCAGATTGTGTACTCCTCTTAGCACTCACAGAACTGCTAGACCACATCGTGGGGCAGAAAGCAGGTCTCAACATATACACGAAAGTGGGGATAACGTAACTATCTGACCACAGGAAAGTAAATACAGTAATAAAAAAACAAAAGGAACGACAGAAAATACAAAAACTCACAGATGTTTAACAACATGGCATTGAATAGTGGTGTGTGGTGTAGGTGGCATTTGTTATTTGCTATTGGTTTATCTTTTATTAACACTGCTGTTAAACCTGAACAGCTGTATACCCAAATCACCACAGAGACACTGGGATTTATTTAATTAACCTAGAACACAATGCTGGGCAATAATTACTTCCTTTTAAACCTCCAAGCCCTCATCATTTTCTAACATTTAGATTTTACCCATTGTACTTGCTTTTTGTGAAATCTGAGGTCTGGTTCATTCTCTACATAGTTCCAAGATCTGTTCTCCAGCCTCTGCTCTCCTAGCTCTGCCCCTGCTCTTTTACCTCCCACTCTTTTCCTGTCCTCTGGCTCCTTCCCTCTTTTCTGTCCTCTGGCTCCTCCCCTCTCCCACCTATTCCTTCTTCTCTATTGCTCAAAATTGTGGCTGGTTGTTTTATTTTGGCATTTTTACACAAAGTTGAGACAGGTGATGCTTAGAATAAGTATCACAAAGCAATATCCAGATTGAAACCAGAGAGTGGGAGAGAAATCAGTATTTGAATGAACAAGGGTAAGGTGTATACATTTCAAAAGAACATTATACCAACAGTTATCCCTTTAAGTCCAATAAAAGGCTCCTTTTCTTTCAATACAATAATAATTATGAAAAGTGTTAGGTAAACTCTACATGTGCAATGTCCAGTCCATGTGTATTTAGCAACTTAAGAGAAAGTATCTGATTATCCTATCTGTCTTGACAAGTTTAAAGTTCTATACCTAAATTAACTTTTATCCTTATTGGTAGTACCTATATGAAAGAATTTCTTAACTTCTAAACAACTTAAGCTTAATTGTGGCACTATAACTATTTGGTCTTCAACCCCATCAGAGACTTGTGAAGGAATAAAATTAGTTACTTGAATAAATAGGAAGTGCATGTTAGCAGCTTCCAAAAAATAAAAAATTGACAGAAACAGTTTGCTGCCTGAACAGTCACCCATAACTCTCTGTAATGTTGGAGCATCATCTTCAGCCTTCTGGCTCAGAATATTTGACAGACATATATGTGAAACAGGAACTATTTAGGACTTGCTTATCCTGTCTTGGCAGAGTGTGGCAGTCGACTTGTCCTGCATTTAAGCTTGCCAAGTTTAGGCAGAATATGTCTGTCGTGAAGTGAGGGTATTTTCTTTACCCAAGTGGCTTGTTTGCCATATTCCAAGCCATCTCCACATGGAGGTTCTTCGATGCTCATTATCTTCTTTCAGGTAGGTGGGGTGCTGCCAGGAAATGACTTGTCTCATTGTCAAAGAATCTTTAAGATAATAAAAACATTTTTAAATGACATATTCTGTAGGTCTCTGAATTTTTTGAAGACTACCTATCTTTATGTAATAGATCTGTATACAAAATCATATCTATTTATTAAACTTAGTATGTATACTCCTGTGATAAATTAGACTATTGTCTGACATAACTATGAGTTCAATAACTAGCAATTTACTTAATATCCTAAACAGTTTTTAATAGCAGTTTAAAAGTATTGGAAGTAACCTTGAATTTCTATCAATAAACTAAAGCTTAATACCAATGTATCAAAAATAGACTTTTTTTTGCATCAATATGCAAAATCCTATACCAGAGTTCAAATTAACCTTATTTGGGAATAACAAATAAAACCCTAAGTTGAGTAGATTCAATAATCTACCTTTTGTCTTATTCCTTTAAGATATCCCTGTATATTCCTTGTTTCACTTTGAATAACACCAGTAATAATTTATAAATATCTCCCAATGAGAATAAAATTCATAGCCATAGAAAACAACCAAAACATACCAAACCCCCTTTAAAGAAAATTGGACGCCGTTCTCATGGATTTCTTCTAGCTGACATTTTGGACATGTAGAAATCCTATCTGAGGCCCAAATAAAATTGGGAAAAATGGTTAATTAAGCATGCAATAACATTTGTGGTCCAGTCTTTGAATGTTGAGAAATTTTAGGCTTAATAAACATCCTGTTTGGATGTTGGACCAATTGAGATTAGTAGTTTTCTTTAAAGATCTCTTGGGAGCAGGCTTTGATGAGAAAACAGCAATTGAAGCAGTTGAGGCAGGAATAAGCAGAATGCTCGAACATGCAAGATGTTGGAACAGATGTGTCAATGTCTCAGCATGCTGAAGAATGAATCCTGTCAGGTTTGATCCAGCATTTCTGGTGTCCAGTTCTTTTTTTCTGTACACATATAATTTCTCACAAGCATAATAGAGTTCTAAAATTATAAATGTATGAGATGTTCAGGATTTTACCTATGCCAACTAAAAGATTAGCATAATATATTTTGAGGATATTATAGCCAAGGATTTATTGGCCAAATATTGTTGGAGTTCTGGAGACATATTTTATGTCTCAGTCAGTTTTAGAGTTGTTCCCATGTAAAGGGATCAGCAATATAAGTAACCATTATTAATGAACATACAATCAGTATCATGTTAAAAATCAAAACAAGGTTGGATTAATCAAAATATCTTTTTGGGCTCTTGCGTGCCTGTTATATTATGCCAAGCTGCTATCTATTTCCCTAGAGAAGCTTTCCATTAGAGAGACAAGCTGGCTGCCTTGAGCAATAGAAAAAGAAGAAACTTTATATATTATTGCCCAGCATTGTGTTCTTGGTTAGTTAAATAAATCCCATTGTCTATGTGGTGATTTGGGTATACAGCTGTTCAGGTTTAACAGCAGTGTTAATAAAAGATAAACCAATAACAAACAATAAACGCTACCTACAACAGGCATGGGGTGCACGTGGGAGTCCACTGAAGAGACCAAGAAGGAAATTTTTTATTTTCTGTAATTAAATGAAATGAAAAGAGAACATACCAAAAGCTATTGGTTGT